TGAAATTACAGAGAAGCCCGAAAGCACCTTCATGGGCTTTACGTGCCTCATCAGGGTATGAGCACTGACGACTTTCTTGGCATTGCTGGCTGCTAAAAGGTCACTGAAAAACGCCAGGGCTTGACGCCGCCTGCTTCTTGGGCCGCTTTTGTGCTTTACACCAAACCGTGCTGGCAAAAAAGCCCTTTTAAAAAGTCGCCAGGATTTCTCTTAAAAACTGTTCTGCAGATGCCAAAATTTGAGACGGAACCCAGTCCTCTGAGCTACAACGAGTTGTGCATGGCAGTTTATCTGACAACTCTGCTTAAGCCCATAAAAATGGTGTCATTGTCAGGCACTAAAATACGTGGCCAGCCTTTCGTTCCACACAATTCCAGGAATTGCAACAAAACTCTAGTTCCAGTGTCCTACTTCACCTTTCAACCTGAGGAATAAATTATGCAAAGCAGTCCAATGAAAGGATCTTTGATTACTGGTGCAATTTATACAGGTTTTGGATTCAGCATTTCCCCGGCACAGAATTTCCCTGAACCCAGAATTTCTCAGAGCAGAATCAATGCAGACAGAACTGTGGGTCTGGCACCCCACTGAAGCAGTTGTTTCCACCGCCGTTGGCACACAGGCCGCTTGTCTACAAGGCTCGCACTAGCCCGCGAACGCAAATCCTGATCGGCAGTGAGAAAGGCAGGTCGCACTTTGGCAATTTGCTCTCCGCAACAGCTTGCACTCATTCAATTCAATGGGCCTGAGACACCCTGGAAAGGCATCGCCATAATTATCAGACATTGTTCTTTATAGACAACCCATCGGAGTACATGATCGGGGGAGAGCAGAGCTGGCAGGTGCCTGTCAGGCCACTGGGTCCAACTCCTTGCTCAGCGCAGGACCCAACGACCTTACAGGCACCTTCAGTGTGGGCACCGAGTCAACTGCCACACAACCCTGGAAGGCAGGAGGTTTTCCCGATGCCCTGCTGGACCCTGGCTTCCTGTAACATCAGCCTGTCATTCCGTGTCCTGCGCTCCGGGACGACCGAGAAAAGATCCCGGTCTTCCTCAGTGTGAACCTTCAATCGTCTCTTATCAGAGCTAAACATGCCCAGTCCTTCCCATCTCTCCTCCTGGGCTTTTTCTCCACTCCCTGGATCATCGCTGTTGCCCTCCTCCGAACCCCTTCCAGCTTGCTTGTGTCTTTCTTGAAGTGTGGTGTCCGGAAGAGGACGCAGGACTCCAAATGAGGCCGAGGCAGTGCTTCATGCTGTTTTGGAAGTGCTACTTCTGTTAATGCTGCCGAAAAGAGCGTTTGGCCTCTTTGCAGCCACATCACATCTTCAGCCTGGGATCCACCACAGTTCCAAGACCCTTCTCACTGGCAGTATGGTTGAGCCAAGGATTCCCATCTTGGAACGATGCATTTGGTTTCTTTTTCTTAGGTGCAGGATTTGCCGTTTGTCCCTCTGGGCAGTAGTATATAGGCAGTGAAGACCACGAGCTCTGTCATCCAGCTTTCTGCCTGTGTTCCTGGAAGACGTTCTCTCGCCTTTTCTTCCAACGGGGTTGCTCATGTAGGTCATGCAGACCTCAAGCAAGAGAAGAAACCAACATGGCTTGCACCCACTGGAGCCCCTCCTTGGGCCATGCATTCATCTGCCTTTTTGGTTTTCCCTTGCTGGTCCCGTTGTAACTTTCTCCTGTCTTCCCTGAAAGCGTGCAAGAGGGTCCTACCAGTAAGTGAGAGTCTGTTACACAGAAGAAAACAAAGGGGAGGGAGAGAACGAAGAGGAAAACAGAAGCAAGTCATGGACTTCCCCCTGCACTCTGCCGCCAGTCTCCTGGAGGTGCGGCTTGCTCTGCTTGCTCTGGGCCTTTGCTGCCTGCAGCCACGTCCCCGGGCCGGCTGGAGCCGCTTCCTTTGACCTACTTGTCCAGGAGTCAGGGAGTGGCATGCGCTCGCCGTGTCGGCTGGCTTACCTGCAGCGGCTGTTCTTCGTGTGCTCATCCGAGCATCCAGGTCCCCTTTGCTCCCTCGGGAGGGGGCTGAACTTCTCCCACGGAGACGTCTGGCCATGGCTGCACAGTAATTGGTCATTCTGGGGCCAAGGATAGCAGCGCCTCCCCACTGCATCCAGACAGTGGTCCTCCTTGTCAGCCGGCGTTGAGCGTTCCCTCCTGGGCAGGGATGCTGGAACGGGGACGCTCGCCCTCCAGGCTTTTGGCTTTCCGCTCCTGCCGCATGGCATCCGTAAGGGTCCCCGGGAAAGCGCCCTCCACGGGCACCCTCCACGGAGGCAGCCTCCAAGGCCAGCCCTTCGCTCCTCCAGGCTCCCGCTGCTGCTGATGCAATGCAAGCCTTACCAAGGAGGCTCCACAGATGCGGCAGAGCTCCTACTGGCCCACGAAGCAGGATGGCGGCCCCTGGAAAAATCAGCCCTTTGCCCGACGTGCAGAGAAAGCACACCTGAGGTGGAGAAGGGTCTGTGCTGGACAGAGACCAGCCTCAGAGCGGCTCTGGGGGTCCCAATCCGGGGGAGGCCGACTGGCCAGGGAGCCCTGCCTTCATCCGGCGCAAGCACCCCCTCTGGGTCCAGATGTCCGCACCACAGGCCCGTGTTCGGGGCTCAAGGCAGCCAAGCTCTCCACCTCCTTGGGAGGCCCCTTTTCCTCTTGGTCACCCCTGGGGTGGGGTGTGAATTAGAGGACACCTCCCTGCAAGAGCAGCAAGGCTGTCCTTCGGCCGCAACCGGGCCACCCTGCCTCTCCAGAAACCGCACAGCACCCCTTGCGAGTTCAGCTCATCTGTCATTATCTGTTCAGCACTCCCAAACGAAGGCTGAAAGGTAACGAAAAGAACCCGGGGCAGGTGGATGCACGCAGCTGCGTCTTCTGTGGGAAAGCAGCACGGAGGGGGCATTCGGAGCTGGGATGTGCCGAGATGCCCCCACGTGGGGTCCCCTCCCACACCCTCTCCTGCTCCTTCCTTCTGAATCTCCAACCTTCAAATAGCAGCTGCTTTTCTCACAGAACCAGCTGCCGTCGCAAGTCCAGTGGGCACACACAGCACAATTATGCATGAATACGCCTATGTCGTGTGCCTCTTTGCAGGCATTTCGGAGAGGATGTCCATATTAGAGCCCTCCCCATTGCCTCTGGAAGGAGGCTTTCAATGGGCTGTTCGGATCCAGCGGTGGAAAGGGGGGAACTGCTGCCAGAATGGCCATCCGCCACATAAACCCCTCCGGAGGCCACATCCATAGCCCCAAACCTCCCCTCATCTGGGACACGGCCTGAGCGGCATCTTAAAGGCACCAAACATCCCTGGATTTGCTGACTGCACATCCTTACCTTGGCTCGCTGGGCTTTTGAAAGCATCTACCCCTGTTTGCGCTTTCGTTTGAGGTCTTCCCCGTATTCCTTCATTGCATTTAGCAACAAGCTGTGCATGACAAGGAAGACTCGGGGCTGCTCAAGGTTTAGGCAGACTTAGGTGGCATTTACAAATCAAATCCCATTGGAAAGTTTGCCACAATGCAGACTATGGCCCATGAGCTGCTCAGCAGAGTCAAGACAGGTCAACATCCATGAGGAAAAGCACATCGCCGTCCCGAGGAAGCTTCCAGGCCATAAAAGGTCTTGCACCATACAATACAGGCCCCATTCCTAAAAGCCAATTATCATGGGGATTCCCTGAACAACGGCACTGATCTTCCACAAGCTCACACCCCAGCAAGAAGATACTTAAGAAGGACTCCAGAGCATCTTGAGTCTTGAATGGCAGAATGACCAACGGATGCGCTTTCTGTCACACCAACCCCATGGCCAAGACACGGAGGAGACAAGTGGACGACCCCTGGCTCAACTTCTGGTGCCGCTGAGCTAAAAGGATCCTGGAGAGTTGGGCCAGGCTGCTACCAGCACTCCGGAGCCTCAGGCTGCTTCAGCCCACGCGGTTTTACACACGACGCCTGAAATGCTGACATGCACAAACGACCCTGGGCCTTTCCCTAGCAAGACCCCCCGGTTCAGCCACAGGGCCTGGCCTTTGGAGGGGCCTGTGGTCCGCCTCCACACCACACTGCCTGTCACTGCACAGAGGGGCTTGGCATTGCACTGGAAGAGAAGCAGACCGCACTGGCTGGGGGGAAATGATAGGAACTGGTGGCGGATCGTCTGTTAAGAAGGTCGTGCTCCACTCCTGTGTTCAAAAAAGCTCGCTTCTCACAAACAGCATGTCGGGCAGTAATTTTCTGTCTGGACTGCCCTGTCTCCGGTGCTGGACTTGAAGACAAGCTTCACCAGTGCTGGATAGCCCAGTCCCAGACCTACTGAGCAGGATGGACCTCCAGAAAGTGGGAGGAAGACCTCAGTCTGAGAACCTCCAACCGGGAACTTCCAGGTTCCAGGTGCTCTCCTCTCCAGTCCAAAAAAGTGTTCTCGGGCACTAACGCCTCCCGGCTGGCTCAGCCAAGCTGCGTTTGCAATACGGAGGGGGTACCAGCACTGCTCCAGGGACTCAAGAAAGGCAACTTGAGAAGCAGCCCAGAAGAGCCAAACGCCACGCACGGTCTTGGAATACCGGGCATAGCAGGGCAGGCCTTTCTCCCTGACCCGCCATTTGGCGTGGGCAAGGAACGTTTTCCCTGTGGAAAAAGCATTCCGGAACGTGCCCCTGGATGCAGTTTGAGGCAGGTCGGTCCAGACAGAGCGTGTCCGTTTTATGAGCTGTTTGCGAAAAGACGGCAGAGGACCAAGAAAATGACTCCTAACACTAGGGGGGAGCAGCCCCTTTGGAGCGGTTTCTCTGCCGATTCCAGAGAACGGCACGGGAACGGGCGTGTGTGAGAAGCCTGAGCCAGGGGGACATCAAAGGGAGGACCGCTGGGAGGGGCCGAGCCCCGCCGCTCCCGCATCCGGGCCTCACCGAGCGGGACCACGGCTCCACACAGGGCGGCGGCGGCGGCGGCGGCGGGAGAGCTACGAGGCTGCCTGACCAAACCCCATTACCTCCAGTGCAGCCGTAGGCTTCTTTTTAAGTTCCTCACATTTCCGGAATTTGCAAATCTGGTGCCCAGTTTTACGGTTCCTACAACTGCTGCACTGCTCGCAGTTTATCCGTCTTCTGCACGGAGGGCACATGCCGCAGCGTTTCCGCTTCTTTTTCCCTGAGCTGATGGCCGAGGCCAGCTCGTTCTGCGTGGGGTACTCTGCCAGGCCAGCCATGTGGAGCGCGCTCTCGGCCAGAAAGACCCCGGCGGGCGTCATGATGAACAGCCCTGGGTTGATGGGGAAAGCCCCCAGGTAAGGGAAGTCGGAGGGGCCGTTCATCGCCTCGGCCGCCGAGACAGCCTCCATGTCGGAGAGGCCCGTCCCGTGGTCACTGGGCAGAGGAATGTGCTCCTGGACGACCCTCTTGAGCAGCTCCGTGGACTGGGCGAACTGCTGCAAGATGCTTTGTCCTTCGGGAGAAATGTCCGATTTGCTCAGCAGGCCGGAGATGCCTTTGTGCTTTGAGGTAGCGTTGCCTTTCTCCAGCGCGGCTTCGTGGCCGTTGGCCAGGGCAGCCAGCTTCTCCGAAGGTTCGCTGAGCGAGCTGCTGCCCCCAAAGGTCGAGTAGTGAGAGAGGGGCCGAGACTTCTTAAGACTTTTGTTCAAGGGCTCGCTGATGATCCCGCTCTTGTTCCTCCTTTCCGAACTGACCAAAGGCGGCGAGTCGTCCGGGCTGGCGCCCTTCTCCAGGAGGCCTGGCTTGAGACCAGCGTCTTGACGAGCGCCGGGATCGGACATTGTTCCTTAGCCAGGGAGAGAGCAGAGGAGGCCGCCGTCCGCTCACCGTGGCAAGAGCCACAGGACCAAGGCAGTGCCGCAGTGAAGGACAGAAGGGGCGCCGCCGCTCTTCACTGCACCGTCGGGGTCATCGCAGCACGTCCAGCAGGTTTTGGCGATCGCGCTCAGCTCTGGAAGCCCAAAAGGAGACAGCGGGAAAGAAAAGGAGGGGAGAATTAGCCAAGAGTCAACACCCGTGAAAGCAAACAGCCTGCGCCTCAGTTCTCGCTGGATCGTCCCCAGCCCTCCCTCTCAAGCCTCTACTGTGAGGAGAGAGAGGTCTGAATGCGGCGTCCTTCTCTTGCATCAACCAAGAGACGGTTGACCTCAAGCGCTACTGCGAGCCTTCTTCCCTGGGTGCCCTCCTGCCCCTCAAGACCTGGGGCAGAGGCCCTTCCCTGGGAGCCCTCTTTGAAGGAAATGGGGAGGGAGGCTATCCGGGGAAGGGCCTTTTCGGTGGTGGCACCCTGACTGTGGAACATGCTTCCCAGAGAGGTTCACCTGGCACCAGTGCTTTATTCATTTTGGTTTCGGGTGAAGACCTTTTTATTTTTCCAATATTTTAACAGTTCATTGGTTTGATCTTTGATTGTATTATTTATCGGATGCAGTGTGTGGTATGTTGTCGGTTGTATACGGCTGCTTTGTTTTTTGCTTTTAAGCTGTCCAGAGACTTTAGTATTGAACGGCATATGAAATATTAGATAAATAAATACTAGATCTATATGGGGAAGAAACAAGGCACTTGCTGCATCAGGGTCTCCCCTGCACCCCAGCCCCAAGCAACGGAACCCCATGGAGCTCAACCGGGGCCGGTCTGATCCTGAAGCGACGCCCGGCGCACCAAAGAGGTAGCCAGCTCAGGCGCCATGCCTTCCGCCTCCAGCATCCCTCTCTGTACGTCACGAAGACGCTCCGTTCCAACCGGAGGGAGGGCTGCCCTTGGATAAAACTGAGAATCGCACAGCCCTGGCTGTGCTCCTCATTCCTGTTTGATTAACTAAGGTCACGAAGGGCTTCTATCCCAGGACAAGCTCGGCGGCGAAGCTCAGAAGCGCAGGACTGGAGGAGACATCCGTCCACAAGCGTTCAGCGCTGCTGCCAGCAGGTGGTCTGAGCCAGCGGCACCCCGTGTTCCTGCAGAGCTGCGGCGCAAGAAGGCCTATTCCGCTTCAAGAGGCGGAGCGGGCGGAAGCAAGGACGCGTGGCCAGCGAGAGCATGGCCTGGTGGCACTGAAACTGTCCTCGAGCAGGAGTGTGCAAGCCGAGCTCCTTCCAACCAGCTGGACCCTTCCGGCTCCAGACAGGAAGAGCACCAATATCGGAGACTCTTCCATCTCAGAACAAAAGCAACTGAGTTACTCCAGCAGGGAGGGTGGGAGCTGAGACATAAAATGAGGCACAGGGGCAACTCTGCTCCGCTTCGACGGGGCTTTGCATGGGGAACCAAGTGTGCCACTCAGCCGACGGAGAGCAGCGCCCTCTGAGGACCGGGTCTGGGAGAGAGGGCACAGGGCGACCACCTCGGGTGGCACTTCTGGTCCAGCCGGGCTGCCACGCCAAAGCGAGGACTGACCCCACGGGGTGCCGATCTGGCCTGATCGCATCATGCGAAGCGAGCACCTCATGGAGGCAAGAAGGGCCGTGCTACACAGACGCTCTGCTCCAGTTCAGTCATCCCTCTGGCCACTGGGAAAGCCGGCGACCAAGCCCGAGGGGCTAGCCAGATCCTGCCGCGTGAAACGCCAGTTCCGGATCTGCCCCGTGCCTTGCAGATGCATGCGGGGGCCTCCCCCCACCGCGCCTCCTGCCCACGCAAGCCCCGGGAGAGCAGAGAAGATGGCGTGAAGGGGAGGGCGCAGGGGAAGCCAAGCGCCAAGGCGGGCTGGCACCTCCGGGGCTTCTGCGATGAGACAGGTGGTGGGCAGTGGGGGCGCAGGCTGGCGCAGGTGCTCTCGCCACACGGCTCGCTCCGCCCGCTGCTCGTGCTGCCGCCTCCTGGCGCCTTGCTCAGGATGTGCCGCGCAGGCCTGGGGAGCGAGCCAGAGCCACGGCGGAGCAGCACATTCCCACAGCACTGCGCTCCGCCGTTCCCCGGGATGGTGCTCCTCCCCGTTCATGCAGAGCATGACCCCTTGGGAAGGGAAGGGCTGCAGGCGCACGGGGAGATGCCGCGGGCTTAGACCAGTGGGGGAAGCGGGGCCCAGGTGCCCACAAACACATCCGCTCTGCGAAGGAGAACGGAGGAAGCGTTCCGACCCACTCCAAATCCCATGCGCCGAGACCAAGGCGCCCCGCACACTTCCAGCCAGGGTGCTGCTGACAGGCAGCCGAACCCCAGAGCCAGAAACGCAACAGACTCTCTCCTGCCAGCTCCAAATCCCAAGAGGAGATCAGAGACTCTCCTCCGGCTTGCATGATGGGCTGGGCAGAGGAAGAGGCTTCCTCGCCGTTGCCGGGAACCCACCAAACGCAGGCACAGAATCACCGGCGGGATCCTACCATAATTTATGGCACTGGGGCATGAGAAGGAAAAGATGCTCCATTTCGCTGTATGCCCACCTTTTCACAACCTCTCATTATACACCAAACGTCTCCCTTGGGTGGGACTGCACAACACTACCGTTTTTGTGACCGGCGTTATTTTGTAGCGCAGCAGCCAGAAAGCTAGAAGAATCCTTCCTTCTTGCAAAGGTTCGACAACAAACCTCGGCTTCGCTCCACGCCCCGACAGACAGAGGAGATGAGCACCGCAAAGCCACCCCTCTGAGGTTGGCTTGTTTAAAGTTTTTATAGGCCGTCCAATACCAGAGTCTCTGGATGGCTTACGAAGAAAAAACAGAAAACAACAACATACCAACAAACCACACACTGCATACAACCATTAATGATAAAACGAAAAGATAAAATCCATTAAATAGTAAAATGTTGGGAAAAGAAAAAGGGTCTTGCCTGACGCCCAGAAGAATAAAGTGACAGCGCCAGGTGAACCTTCCTGGGGAGTGTGTTCCAAAGTCGGGGCACCACCACCGAAAAGGCCCCCCTCCGGGTAGCCACCCTCCTCATCTCCTTCAGGGAGGGCTCCCAGAGCAGGGCCTCTGCCTCTGCGCTCAAGGGGCAGGCAGGCACATGGGGAAGGAGGTGCTCCTTCAGGACCCACACTTTTTAGGGCCTTATAGGTCATCACCAGCACCTGAAATTGGGCCAACTCCACCAAGCGTTGTGGGAGCAGCGTGGTGACCTCGAGCTGTGGAGGCCAAAGAGCACCCAGAGCCTTTCCCAGTGGATCCACCCGAGCTGCTTCGCTTGAGTCAGGTGGCAGAAAGGGAAGCAAAGACCACAACGGCCTTTCTTCCTGCCCCGATGAAGGAGCCCTGAGAAGGCCTTCGCTGTGTCCCTCTGCACATCAGACGGGACCGAACTTTAAACTGGCCACACGCCACCTGCCGAGAGAAACATGCGACCCGTCAGAGAAGACGGAAGCAGTGCTCGGCTTGGGCCATTCGCACCAGCTTACCAGACGACACCCACCATGAGCCGGGGAAGCCCCGGTGACCGAAAGAGAGCGGCAAGACAAGTCTTCCATTGCTTCTCCAAACCCAAAACGCAGGTCTTTCAATGCTGAAAGATAATTTCCAAGAATCCCCTCTGTCCCGCCAGCTGAGCACAGTTTAGCACCATAAACTGGCCGCGGGAAGGGATTTCCCTGGTACTAACTTGCTAAACTTCAGTTGAGTCACCAAAAATGTTATCCAAATCGACATACAGTTTCCGCCACAAAGACAAAAACATGGGCCTGTGATGCTTTCTGCAAGATTTCTGCAGCAGCAAGCATCACAAAACGACCGATACACTGCAGAATCTTGGCACAAAGGAACCTTCTAGAAATCCCCCTGTAAACCGTCTCTATTTGCATCAATGGGTGGAGAGGTCTAACTGTCTCGCTTGCCTTCCATGGCCAAAGGGATCTTGTGCTCCCCCCGCCTTCACTGACCCCAGCTAAAACTGAACTTCGGCTCTTCGGCTGCCAACCCTGACGGCAGCTTTGCTGGGCTCTGTCGTCCCACCAAACGTCTCCTGCGTAAGAGGTGCAAAAACACTTTGAAGCCAGAGGAAAAAGATGGTCTGGGGACAGGCCAAACTTTTTGGGGAAACGCTGGAATATTTGCACGTTTTACTTTATTGAGTCAGGAACTTGTTTTCCTGCTTTTGGGTACAATCCTATCAGGTTGACACAGCTGAAGTGTCTTCAGAATACCTGGTCTCCTCCTCATCTTAGAGTTGTGGTAGTCAAAGCGGAAACAAGCTGGAAAATTTGGGGGAAACCCTTTTCCAAGAATGTTTTGTTTTTTGCTGAGGAACTAGAAGCTCTGGACGGCTTGGAATTATGAATTATTTTCTTTCAGAAGTTAAGAGAGGTTTATAATTTCTTTCCCAGCCTTTCCTCCTGCCAAAATGTTTTCTAAAGACTATGGAATAAGAACATTTTCATGGAAAGGCTAGGAATATAAATGCCTGGAAATAATGAAGTCATGCATGGATTTTTTAAAATCCTCTCTGGAGAAATCCCTGTATGATTATTTCTTCTATTCCTTACTAAAAATCATTGATCTAATGTACCGTTTATTGACAGACATTTACCGATGCTCCAAGTCACGCTTATTTTCCCAAAGTGTGTGTTGAGTCATCACATGGTAATATGGAAGAAAATGAGCATTGGTTTTTGTGGTCCAAGCAGAAGTAGAGGCTTGTTTTGATTAGTCAACTGATGCAGTTCTAATCTAAAACCCACACAGGGAAAAACCCTAGTCATCTCAAAGACGATGGAACAATATATAGGTTGTCCTACCTATGCTTTTTTTAAAGTTTGAGGCTTATATTTACCAAGCTTATTCATGGTTTTTAATTAAGTTCTCACTTAGAGCTCACCACTGGGAAATGCTGTCTCGGCTGTGAAAATTTTAAGCTACTGTCACTAGAAAAAGCCCTTTCTACCAAAAAGATTCTCATCAGCCTGGTTCTTAATGCAAAGGCATGGAGCTGACACCACCACAAGAAATGGCCTTTTCTCCTAAACAGAAAACAAAATGTTCATTAAGAGAAATTACTTACAAAAGAAAAGACAGGGTAG